CAAAAATAGAATTAATGGAACTGACATGACACTATATCCATTTAAAAGTCTGGTTACTTGTGTCCTAATCGGATATTCAAAAGTTCTAAAATACTGAGATAATTATGTGTATTAGAATAGTTCACACAAAAATAAAGATCTGTTATTATTCACACACTCCCATGTCGTTCCAAACATGTTTTTCTTTCTCTGTGGAACACAAAAGGAGGTATTTTGTAGAATGTATGGGCTGCTCTTTTCTATATGAAAGTGAATGGGGAGTAGGGCAAAAAAAAAGGGACAAAGAAAGACCATAAAAGTAGTTCGTAGTACTCACACATTATATTCCAAGTCTGCTTAAGTCATACAAATAGCTGTTATTCACTGAAAATCTAACCTTTCGCAGTTGCATTTGGCGTAATTTTATCTTTAATTTTTGTGAATGGTGTTATGTGCAAGTTGATGTCCATGTCAATGCTATAGCAAGTTGCATGCTGTAGAGATGGAGATGCCCCAGTCTGTTAAGTTGCCTGGTAATAAAACTGACCACATGTTCAGGGTCGCTATATTGTCTTTGACAATAAAATTGTAGCCCTGACAGCTTCTCAAGAGTCCACTGCTGTGGAAGTTGGCAGTCACTCACACATGTAAAGCTATTTCAGCTTCAGTTAGTTCATTGATGATGCTTTTGCATAACATTCTTGTCAAGTACATGGACAAATCATGAAGTAATTGCTATTTTGTTATGTCGTGATCACAAGAAAATGAAGCTGTGATCACAAGAGAACAAGAAAAAAAAAGCTAATGCATTGCCTCTTAGGGCTTCCATAATTGTCTCTTCAGCAGAAATTTATAATCTGTTGATTTTTGTGCAAATGAGAAGGGTAAAGATCCTTATTGCATAAATTTACACTTGTGTCGCACCAGTTGCCGAACCTAATAATTACACTTGGGCCTTTTCAGGACTGTTAACGTGTTAACTATATTCAAATTATGAGATTAATCACAATTAAATATGATTTATTTCTTGCTCTCTGACCCAGACGGCAGGTAAAGTATGCAACCTGTAGTGAGAATTATGGGATCCGTCCGCCTGCTCCTGAGCAGTATCTCACCCCACTGCAGCAGAAGGAAGTGTGTATTCGTCACTTACGAGCTCGGCTGAAAGAAAAGGTGGAGAGGCTTCAGGACAGGTCAGTAATGCTTTTATCTCTCAACAACATGTCAGTGGAGTTTTATAGCTTATTGACATCCTGAGTATCATACATGTGGCTATATACAGTATATAGCAGAACCTACCCTGCATTTGAATATGCCTACAAATATAGTATTAAACATTATCATACTACACACATTCATACCATATAGAACATACTTTTTAATGGATGTCAAGCAAGTTTCAAATCAAATGTAGTATCTACTTAAAGGGGTCATATGACGTTGCTAAAAAGAACATTATTTTGTGTATTTGGTGTAATGAAATGTGTTTATGCGGTTTAAGGTTCAAAAAACACATTATTTTCCACATTGCGTGCACATTTGGGCGGTGTTATGCAAATCTTCCCACATTGTGACGTAGGTATGTGGGGGCGTGTTAGAACGAGCTGTTTTAGGTAGGCGTGGCTGAATCTTAACTTTTATAAAGAATATCTCTTTGGATTTGAGACTTTAGTCTTTGCAACTTTACAGATCTTCTTTATGCACCAAGAGCTTGTAACACTCCAAAGAGAAAGGAAAAATTGAAATCGCATCATATGACCCCTTTAACAGTATGCGGTTTTCGGCAAGAGCACTAGATTTATTTCTATGCCCATGTTTTTTTTTTTAATCATGGCAGAGACTCTGTGATCGGGGAGTTACGGATGCAGCTGACTCGGATGCAGGAGGATTGGATTGAGGAGGAATGTCATCGCATAGAGGCCCAGTTGGCCCTAAAAGAGGCCCGGAAGGAGATCCGGCAGCTTCAGCAGACTGTGGAAACTGTTAGGTCCAATCTGGGGGCCCATGAGGCAGATCAACAGGACTGTAAGTCTGAAGGTCTAGGTGTCGGTAGGATAGGCCCACGATTTGGGGCATCCAGGTCTTGTGGCTGCTCTCCGGCCCACACCATGAGCCGCAGCGCCACCTTCACCAGGCTGAGCAGTGACACGTCACCTGGTGCTACAGATCGCAACGGAAACGTACGTTCTGATCGCTACATTCCCGCCAACAGAGGGGCGATGACGTTACCAAGAGGGGACGGACGTACTCATCTACTTCTGGAAGCAGCTCTACTCTCTGAGCAAGTCCCTCACACAACGCTGTGCTCCTCTTTGTCACGATCCTCCACCTGCGAGAGATTGTGCAGCGGGGAGACGGTGTTGCCCGTTAGCCGATCCTGCCATGCTGTTAACAACAACTGCAGCTGTATTCCACATGCCTACCTCCCACACCACCATTTGTTTTTGCACCTCCCACAGGAGGAAGCACCACCTCCTCCTCCGCTGCCGCCTCCACCACCGCCAACAGCGCCCCCTAGTGCATCGGAGGTCAGTGACAGGCCAGGGTACCGGTCACAGGCCTGCAGCCCCACCATAACCTGGATCTCCGAAGAGGGCGGCGGTGAGGAATTGAGCGTCATCACTTCAGCAACTTGCGCGCCAGACATTACTCTTGCTGAACCGCAGGTGTTTTCGCCATCCTCTGCAACTACTTCCCCTGCTCAGCTGTCTTACATCACAGAAACTTTGCCGCTAGACAGCACAGTTGAATTTACATCATCAACAACAATGCCGACAGTGTTGACGAAGCCACAGGTTCAACAACCTTGTCCCAGAGCGTCACCACCTCTCGAGCCACCGCCACAGGAAGCAGCGGTAGTAACGGTCAATGATGAAGATGGAGAATCAGCTCCCCCTCAGAGGAGCCACTGGAGCCGTTATTTCCTGATTGACCTCTTAGCGGTGACCGTTCCTGTAGTTCCCACACTGGCGTGGCTTTGCCGGGGGTCACGGAATGAAGGCATGCCAGTGTACAACATGGGCTCCCTGTTGCGCGGCTGCTGTGCCGTTGCTCTGCACTCTCTAAGACGTGGCCACAGTCCCTCAAGAACAGGAAGAGCTAAACCTATCTGATAACTTTAGCATTACCGTACCATCAAAAACTTTTAACTGGATCTGAGTGGACTCTTTGTCCTTGATCTCCCAGTTTGTGATTTTTATTGATTTATTTTTTAACCAAGGAGGTCTAAATCCATCACACCAATGCTTGTTTGGGACAAAGATTGAGGGAATGTGGCTCTAATTTGCACACATGTTTTAAGGCTGTTTCTCATTTCCACCATTTGTTTTTCTTTTCCTTCTGGTTCTCTTATCTGCTTTATTTCCTCTCATTCCTGGCTGAAACTCAGCAGGCAGTACACAGTCAAAAGTAGCTGCAAACACGAGTCCTAGCTGAGCAGAGAAGTGTCAATGTACATAAGTTTAGGCCTTAAGATTAAAAAAATAATAATAATTAAATGCCTTGAAATATCATTCTTACGTAAACTGTTCTACTGAACTGAATTCATTCTGTTCTCGTTTCTCGAGTGAAGCCTGTTCTCAAGAAAAATTTTGCATGTAAATTTTGCAGGTAGGTTACATACATTGATGTGAATTGATCTTCATGAGAAGAGGAGATTTACATACCTGTTGCTAAGCAACCATTGTGCCAATCCATCTAATTTCATAAGAAACAGAACTTTTCACAATATAGACACAAAATTGTTTAAAAGGGAAAATAATATTAAATGGTAACTGTGCAAGAAGCAATAGGCATCCAGCAACTTTGCTGTTTGGATCTCTAAAAAACATGCACAACTCATTATTAGATATTAAAACGTTGATCCTATAACATGAAAATGTCTTTACTAATGTGGAGTGTTTTACGGATTACTATTCTGATGTCATTCTAGACTTTTCTACTCAAGTTATGTGTCAATTGTTTTATTGGTTACGCAACTGTGTATTCTTAATATGAGCAAAAAGAACTGCTTTACTGTGCTTCATTTGCTTATTTAATTATTTGAATTGTAGAAAATATTGTTCAAATGCCAGATTTCACTGATAAAGCAATGGAAGGTGATGGCCTAAAATGACTTTATTAATCTGTCCTTTGGGTGGTAAGATTTTTCAGTTCTTTTAAACTCCGTCTCAGGTGGAACTCGGGTGAATAGTACTAGAGAGGAAGTAAACTTAGCGGAAACCCATGTCAAAACATTCATTCATTAGAAAACCAACGGTTTATAAATAGTAGAACAGTAATTGTGAAGATGTATATTTACTGTCATAACAGGCTTGTTTTTAATCTCAAGATATCACACCACTTCAGAAAACAAATGGGTCTTTAACTGTTGCATGCATCCAGATTTCAGAAAACTCTATTAGGAAAATACTTGCAATTGATTCATGGATTTGTAAAGCAAAGTCTTCTGTTACTTTGAAGTAGCACAAAAGAACAAAACTCTGTAATCATGGTATTCCAGTAGGTTGTTTTATGGGCTTAAAATGCATGTTAGCACAATAATTCCTAGTAGTTAGCTTTATCAGGAAACTTAAAGATTCTGTTTCAAATAGACATTTACATAAAAAACGCATCCTGACTTACAGAGCCTCATTACAAAACGACTGTGTATTTAGACAAAGCCCATCAACACTCAACCCTAATTGTAAATTTGGGTTGTTTGGTTCAATTGCCCCTTGAAAATAAAAATGTTGTGTTCAAATGACAAAGCTTCTGTTGTGCTAATGACTTTTTCTTTTACTTGCACTGTGTCCTAGTCTGTCCTCACTTAAAGCAAGAAGCTGTGACATGACAATTACAGGTAATCAGAACAAAATTGATGTTTAATATTCAGTTATGCAGAGTGGGATTTCAATGTGGGTGGGGCTACCCAGCACAATATGAAATCGGGACCAACTATCATCATCTGACATGATTATAAGAACGCACATGTAAACAAACCATTCCAGTTTCCCCAATCAACACATAAGAAACCAGCTTGATCTTTTTATAAACAATTTATTTTCAAGTAGTTTTGTTTTATACTTAACCAGATTTCCCCACCAGAGTACTTGTTACCAGCTCAGCCACAACCCTGTTGCTGTGATCGCGTTTACAACACAGAAATCAAATATAAAAAGAGAAGGAAAGGGGGAAAAAAAGAAACCGGCGTCTTAGTGAACATCCAATAATGGAGAGTATACCAGTGATTATGTCAAGCAGAAAAGAAATAAAAGGCAACAAAATATACAAATGCAAAACAGAGCTAAGCTAAGTGGTATCGCTATTAACACTAGCCCCTTTTGAGGATCACATGCATGGAGCAATGTTCCTTAAAAAGGTTGACCTGGAAGAAAACAGAGAGAGGTTTATTAAACAACTAAACCGTGTTCCTCAAAGGCCATACATACATACGATTACGAGGGTTTAATCTAAGAGCCTGTTAAATAAACTCTACAGGACGTTTAAGACCAAGACTACAATAATCTCCTTTAAAGATTAACTTTTAGTTATTAAAAGTGATCCATGGAGGAACTATATACAATGATAAAAAAAATAAGTATCTTAGGTGACATGCAGTCATAAAATGTATTAAATACCAAGTAACAACAACAAATGAACTCAAAAGAGAAATGTGGAAAACTTTGCACATACCCTGAAAGAATGAATTGGGAATAACCTGAGTCCAATTGTGGGGGCTTTACTCCAAGCCAATCAGCTCCACATCAAATATGAGGGTTGCGTTGGGAGGAATGATGCCCGGGTGCCCCTTGCTCCCGTAAGCAAAGTCCGGAGTGCAAGTCAGCTTGGCACGCTGCCCCACACTCATCTGTCACAAGGGGGAGAGGTCATTTGGCCAAATTAAGTCCAGTAAGAAACAATGAATGGAGGTTAAAAGAAGTGACACTGCTTGGTTATCAAAACCACAATAGACAGCTTGTGTGTACTTGTCTGTTGAAGCAAAAGGGGAAATTTTCCAATTAGGCCGAGACCTACTTTATGAACACACGGTGTGCCATTAGATTTATATTGCAAATCAAACCCATTTTTCAAATTACCTGGGCTACTCCTTCATCCCAACCACGGATGACTTCTTGTTTGCCAATTTTGAATTTGAAAGGCTTTCCTCGGTCCCTGGAGGAGTCGAACTTGTGTCCATCTGTCAGAGAGCCTGAGAAAAACAGGAATTAACACAGATATGAATGACTCTGCGTCAACCTGCGCACGCACGATTACACATTACACCAAGAAACGCTTACTACGGATTCGTTTCATTTTTCATTCATTTGGACTGTACAGCAAATATTAAAATAGCCTTCCATGGCTGCAGTTCACAATAATCTGGATTCATCAAAACAGTTTGGTTTGAAAGCATAATGACCGTTTGAATGGAAATATTTGCCGGATGTTCGAATCAAAAGGGTTTTGACGATCATGGGCAGGTTCAAACCAAAGCATTTTGAAAATCACACCCACGGAGGATTCGAATTGCAGAACGTTCGAATCTAAAGCATCATAAGCGCGGTAAAAACGTTCGAATATGATGTTCAGACGCGTCTAGAATCTCCCAAAAACGTCTAACGTTAGTTTGGCGAGGATGCCCGCTATTTTTTTAACTCATCATTAACGACGGCAATATAAACACTGTATGTCCACAAGAACAGGCCACAGTTTCCAAATCATATGGTGTTAGACGCATTTATCAGTCGTGGATATAAGGAAAGATCAAAGATGTAGCAAATATTAAGGCTTGTTAAAATCTTAACGATTGACAGCCTTGATGAGCCGATCGCGGACGCGAAAGTGTCTATTGTGTCAGTGCGGCTAATCAGCTAATGCTAGCTAACACCCTTCACGCGATTCATCAACACGAGCACTTCTCAAACTTACCCACGTAGTGCACGACACACGTCTGTCCTTTTTTGGGGAAAGTACTTCCTGAAATCCAAAACAAGAGGAGAAGATGTTTAAAATGCACGGCAAATCCTGTGGGAAGAGGTTAGTGTTTAGCTAACAGGCTAACGCCCGTGATGCCCAAAACAGGCAAAATGTGTCGATTTAAAATGCGTCTTATTTTGATAGAAGAATTGTGGCTTGGGAATTGTCGATGTGATGCGCTTTACCGTCTCCAGGAGTAATGGTTTCAACCTCGACTCCCATCCTGGCTGCTCGTTTTGACTCCTGAAGCTCTGCACACAGAATGCGCTTCAGTAACTCAGTAATTGTGATTGAGGGCAGAAAGCCCGGTCCGCGCCGCCAGCGGACAGACGCCGAACAGCTCCATCAGCCACACATCGCCGTATACAGTATATTAACCACGGTTTCAGCTCTAATCCCATTTAGTACAATTAATTTACTCTAACTTGATATTAGCCACCACTGTCATAAATAACGTATTTGTAATTCTGATCATTGTATGATTACTTTAATGCATCTGTTTCTGTTTGCACTGCACACCATCTTTTGCACTGTGATAATCATCTACCAATTCTATCTCCATCACAACCAGATCATCTTTTCTAGACTATATTGTTGGCTATTTGCACTGACTGACATCTGTAAAGCATCTGACATCTTTTTAAATCTTAAAAACACTTTAACATAGATTGTATACTGGATCTAATCTAATCTAATCTTAACGGCATGTAAATGTAAAGGTACATAACATTATATGAAATCGATACAGCAGCATCTTATGACTCACACCCTTGGTCTACATCAGTGGAATGAAATTCAAATAGATTCACAGCTATAAGTGTTTTTTCAATCATGCTTTTTTTTCACAAGTGTACACAAGAGTACTAATATTTACTGCAACTGCCCTGAGACTTTCTAGTGTGAAATGATCAGAGCTGGGTAGATTACTTGAAAATTGTAATCCTTTACTGATTCCAAATTACAAAAATTGTAGTTAGTAACGTAATTCATTACATTACACGTTTTAGGTAATATAATCAGACTACTTTTTGATTACTTTTGACCTAACTCGTTTATTTTGATTTAAATAGGATAATATTGTACCATATTAACATAAAAATGCAAAGAAAAAGAAAATATATTCCATTCATTGTTATTAACAACATTAACATTGTTAATAACATTAACAACATTGTTATTAACAACAAGTGCATTAATCATTCAATTACGTCAAGGTTTACCAAGCTGGGGTTTGTGAACGAACTGAAGGGGGGTTGTGAGTTTAATGAAAAGCAAATAATTAATTAAATCATAAAAATGTAAAATTTAAATAAATCATTTTAAATGAACATGAATCAAAATAAATCACTTAAATATTTAAAAAAAATTAAATATTAAAAAAATATATATATTTAATTTGTTTAGCCTACCTGCATGTCATGTGACCATTAACCAATAATGCAAATGTGTTACTTAATTATGAACTTAAAATCTCAGGGGTAGTTCAAGTAAATATATTGGGCGAAAGAGGCTTTGCTGACAAAAAAAAGTTTGTGAACTTGTGCATTTTAATGTGTTTGAAAGACAAAATTCTTCCCAAGACAGTAATACGTGGTTAAATAACCTGAGTGATAATTCAAATAAACATTAATGTTTTTCATCAGTAGTTGACGCAATGTTGAAATGTTGAGAAAACAGTTTTTTTTTTATTAAAATGATTTCTGTAAATCCAGTGGTCAAATGCTGTGTGGCCTCTCAGTTTTCAGTGTAATTGTAGCCACCTGAGTAGTGACTGGTCTTTGTGTGAATGTTCACAAAACTGGAGGACTTTCTGACTGTATATAAGCAGTAGGCTATTTTAGAAAGGAAAATTTAAAAGATGAAAAAGAGGAATTAGGGAGAATCAATAAATTATGAAAAATGTATTGCTGTTGTGTGAATAATCATGATCAATAAAATCAATTAACAAGTAACTGTAGTCTGATTACGAATATTTTAAAATGTAATTGAATCTAGATAAAAGTACTTAATTTTAGGTATCTGATTACGTAATCCAGATTACATGTAATCAGTTACTACCCAGCTCTGGAAATTATCACTAGTCTACTCTCAGTGTATCCGACTCCGCCCACAATGCTACAAACCACGCCCCTACACACAACGCCCGCCCACTATCACAAGTTACGCCCACTATAAAGAAACGCTTCCACTTTCCACTATCACCGCGCGGTGACAAGGCATACGAATCTTATTCCATTTATCACAGACAACGGAACTCGTTTCCCTACAGTTTTAAAGCATTTTAATTATGAAATTATACAGTAACTGTGTTTGCGTGTTTCAGACAAATACTGTCTACATCAGTGGTGACTGGTGAGGCATTTTTAATGACTAATTTTCCATGTTACGTCGACTGTCCATATGAGCGAGTCATTGAATCAATTTACTCTCGATTCATTCAAAACACTGATGGATTCAGGTTCGCGACTATTGTGTTCCTCGCAGAGCAGCTTGCTTCTGCTTTGATGAAGATGAAGTAAGTGGCAGTATTGTGTCTACAGTGTAAGTTAGGCTACTCAATGTTAACTTCATGTTCATTTTATCAGCATTGTCATGATTTCCCACGCCCTTATGCATAAAGCAAATCACAGCCGGTGTTCTGTCGATTTGTGCTACCCTGTCAGATTTTGCTACATCCCATTAAAACAGTGGGTAGTCAGGGCTGCCCACTTTTGATTTCAGCTTGGAGTATTCGACAACGAAAAATGCTACCTGTAAAATTATGGTTTATTAACGTCTACACCTACCACAACCCTAAACCTACTCTTACAGTAATGCAAATACAGTAATTATGTGTTATATTCGCGGTTGTAGCTAGAATGGATACTGGATACAGCTACAGGAAACCAACAATAAATAATTTTTTCTACCTATTAGATTGTGTTTTATTAAAGTCTACATGGCTACCCAACCCTAAACCTACCCTTACAGTAATGCAGATACATTAAGTATTGTTGTTCAGCATGAGAAAAAGGACGCAATATTGATGTGCGCATGCGCAGTAAACCCTGGTCAATCTGACGGGTAGGATAAAATGTCAGGACACCTGGGGCAAGTTCAAGCTCGCATTGATGCAGACTCTCCAGTTTTAAACATCTACTACACCCATGTAACTTTTGACCTCTCATCTTGAATATCTTGACACTTCAGTGCACATTTATGTCTTTCACTCAACCTTGATTCATGACGTTTCACACTTGATTTATATTGTTGTGATGACGTTGGGTACGTTTTTGATTTATGAAATTGGATTGCTGAGTTGGAACTCGACATCCTGACGTCATGTGAATCAGCACTTGTGTTGCAGTATTTTTGAGACGCTTGACAGGCAGATTGTTTTGCATTAAGATGTGATATTATTCTAGTCTTTGATTTGAAGATGAAAGTCTGACTGGAGTCAGTGATTTGTTGAATCATGGGAACATTTTCCTCTTCTAAACTGGCAAGTGTGGCACTGTTAGACCTGGAAAAGAAAAAAAAGAAAGTACGCAATGTACTATTATTAACATTCATAAATCTTATAAGATTGAGACATTGACTGACACTCATATGTCTTACCTTGTGTTTCTGAGATCTTGTTGAATCTGCTTCCGATGTGCTTCATTGATTGGGTACAAATAGAAAAACACTAAACCCACCAGCAAAAAGGCGATTGGTATGGGGGCCCAAAGCAAATTCAGTGCACCTGCTTTATATCCTGTGAAGCTCCAACAAAACACATTGCTCAGTGTAAATATATCAAGGTAAACATTTCAGACTTCCACAAAAAGGCTGAACTATTGCAAACATGAGCTTGGTTTTGTTTTGGTCAAACATTCTCGCCTGACAGTATTTAAAAACTTGCAGGACACAGAGCTTGAACAATCGTACTCGAATTTAGTGCCGGTGTCCTCAGTATTTTTAAAAACTGACCGACAGGCATTACATTGGCTTAAAGAGAGCGAGTGCTGACTCACTGTAGTGTCATAGTGGAGATGCCAGCAGACAGGCCTCCTCCAAGCTTGTTACAAAACCTCGAGCAGGAAAAAAACAGGGGCTCCAGGCCTTTGCAGGACGGGTTCTGAACAGCAAACTCATCCACCACATCTGGCAGCATTGACCTGAGCAAAACAAGGCATTTTAGGCATTTGACTGATGTTTCGCAAAACTCACAACCACCATGCTAGGGAGTAGGCTGGTTGTTAGGATGTTCGGAGTGGTTTTTTAGTGCATTGCTGTGGAATTTCAAGGGTGTTGCGTACTGGCCCCATTTCAAATCTCTACTTCTCTACTTTTGTGTAAATCGATTAGATTTTGTCTCCCATTTTATCATTCAGAAGGCAAAATTGTACACCTGTTTGCTTATAGAAAAAATAGCACACCTCTCCCTAATAAGATTTAATGTTTCATTGCGCAATTTGCACAAGTGGTTCAGGATTAGCTAGTTGCGTGCAGAAGTTTAATCAATGATCAATGGCCAATGATAAATAAGAGTGTCCAAGATGAAGAAAAGGAAACACCTCATAAAAATCTAGTTTAAAAGACACGTGCTGAGTTGTTAGAAATGTACTCTGTATTTTGTATTCACGTTGGTTTTATATGGTTTTCAAAAGTTTGAAATGTTATGTGGTGTAACCATCAAGTAAAAACATTTTAGCCTAACATATCGGCCTTACATCTGAATACATGCAAGTATACACATCTTAAACATTATGTATTAATTAAAAAAATCATTCATATGTTTTTGGAAGGCTGCACCACATGACATTTTACAACCTGAACTAACCATGTCAGAAAAATTTGTTGGACCACATGACTTTTACTTGTCACAACAATTTGTTTTTCAAATATTACTTAGCAGTGAAGCAGTTTTCCCCCTTAGAATTAATAATAGAATATTATAATTAAATAATAGAATAGAATAAAACATTTAATAATTGAATAATTTTAATGAGGCCTTTTTGAGGCTTTGTTATGGAGGACAGTTGTATGACCCTGACATTTCTGACTTTCCCCCCTAAAAGTGTGTTTGTATAAATTGCATTTTAATGTATTTTGAAGACATTAATAGATACAGACAAAAAAAAATGGCATCATTTCATTGACCCATCTCCCATTTAATACTCTCCCTAAGCAATGATGCTCGCGTTAGCAAATGCCACTAAATATATGACCTCTCTGTTGGGTAAAATGAATGGCTGAAAGTAATTTAATTGACAACGTAATAAAACAAGTGCACAATTTCCCTACCAAAAGTGATGGCAATGTCCTGCATAAAACTTGATGTGAAGATTTACTGATGGATCGCCAAGTGCTAAACTCTTCATGGT